AAAGTAGCTTTTGTAAGCTGAAATTCTGAGTAAGTCGTCTTAGTAGTAAAGAAAGAAATGTGCTTTTTGGTCAGGCTACAGGAGGGAAAGCCTGGGAATTTAACTACTGTCAGTGACAGCTTCTCAACTAATGCTGACATTAACAGCACAATTATCTGTGGTTCAGAAGGTATGTTACTGAATTCTCTACATGTCCCGGAATGCCTGTCTAGCATCCAGATGATGACAGAAGTTCACTGGGAATCTACACTGGATAAAGACAGGATGATTCACAAAATCATTAAAACGTTGACTTCCTTGTGGTCTGTCTGGTAATGTTGTTCTTCCTATGATCAGGTTTCAGCAAGTAGGAAAAAGCTGTTTTCTCCCACATACATGGAAATAAATCTAATAAAGTATACTGCTGTGAGTTTGTTCTTACAGACTGTTAGGAGATTCTCTGGCTCTTGTACTTTTTTTCATCCTTTAGGATGTTAAATATTTTTTAAAAGGAATCTGTTGATGAGAAGTCATACTATATTGGATTATTCTAGTTCCATAATCTGTTGGTTACATGTTAAGAAGATGGATGTTCTTGGTAAGTTTGAGGAATATAAATTTAGAGAGAGAAAGTTGGGAATTATCTCCTGCCCTGGAATCACCCTATCACACCTTTAATAAAAATGAGCTGTATATAGTTTTCTGGATTGGGAAGTGACTAACTTCTCTCAAGCAGTTGAGACTTGTAAGCAGTTGAGGTGTATAGCTGTACTAGCAAAAGGACTGGTTTATCACCTGAACTAGCAGGTGAACCAGAGAGGAGCCAGCATATCTGGGCTGTCTAGATCCAGCTCACATCCAGCCCTTTAATATATCTCCAACTTGTCGTCTTGTACTTGTCAAGCGTTCCTGGAGCTGCGCCTCCGTTCATCACAGTCTGTGATACATCTCTTATGACCTTCAGCTGTAGAAGTGCATTTGTGTTAGGCTTACACTGACAGGAAGGTTGTCTACCCCTCCCTTCAGCTTTTTCTTTTATATCACTATGTCCCTTTCCAGAAATATATGGGTCACATTTTGCATGTGGGGACAGACCTGAGCTTCAAACATAGAAATCTACATGTATTTTTGAAACCAGGGTGAAAGGACTAAGAGGTGGAATATCGGGGACCTTGGAATTTGCATTTCTAGGCTAAGGCTGTCATATGGTCTAGTATCCCTCAGCACGCCTTGTCCTCCTCCCAGATACAGCGTCAGGTCACTATTTGAGACTTGTAGCCATTTGTCAAGAGTTGCTGGATGTCCAGAAATTGCTGACATATCATTGCCTGTGTACAATAGTTCCAGTCTATTCTGAATGAAAACATGAGTCAGTGTGTATGTTGGAGACCTGACCTGTAGCACACAGATCTATCTGCCTTTGAAATTCCAGAAGAAATATGGTAACATTATTCCACTGTGTTCCTAAAAATTTTTAAGACAAAATATTTTATTTCAGAGCAAAATCTTTTGGGATTTCTCCTCTATTGGAATTCTGGGTTTGTATCTGCTTTTGTTGTTTCTGAACAGAGCACTATTTTTTTTTTTCCTTAATATTGGCATATCCTACTACTTGCAAATTTTAGTTTTCATCTATCTTATCCCACATAAGTCACTGCAGAAGTCTGGAAAGCAGAAACACTAACAACTTGTAGGTGTCCTGGGTATCATAGCGTACATACACAAGGGAACCATATTAAGAAAGTGTAAGAAACTTCTAATTTGGAATTTCCTAAGTCCTGGATGCTTTACTTTGCAATCTGATGTTCTTTTCCTGAGGAATTTTTCCATGAAACTTCTTAACTTTTTTATTTTCTAAATGGAAAGATGAACAAATTTATATTTTGTGCAACAGTCATCAAAGGATATTGTTGGTTTTTGGCAGTAGAACCGTTGCGTTCTGCAGTACATTAAAGTTTCCTAAATTGAATTTTTATATAGTCCAACTAAAACGGGACTGTGTCCACGGTGTTGGTCATATGCTTAATTGCTTTTCTCTGTATTGGCAAGTATTCTTCCTTGATGATCTTATTCCTAAGATCATCATCTTGCTTTTTTTGGGTCATCTCCACAACTAGAATGTTTCCATAACCTTTTTGTATTTAATCATAGTACTAGTCGGATGAAGCACAGTTCAGCTTTTAATTCTGTTTTTTCTATTAATCAAAAATTTCTTAACAATGACTGTGCAAACAGAAAGTCTTCAGTAGATTCTGTAGTCTAAAGTGTAGTCTGCCTGGTCGAGTTCTTGTGTGTCAGTGTTCTCCACCCCACAGATGTTCTTCTTAACGTCTTTAAGACGTTTAAGAAGTTTCCAAACTGCAGTGTGGCAAGTTGCCTGATCCATCCTGTGGTCTTGGCCTCACTTTGTTGTTTCCAGATGCTTCTTGAGGCTTCCAGACCTTTCATAGCAAAGAAGGACCTAGAAGCCATATGAAATTCCCATGCTTATATTTAAAGATGGTTAGAATACACTAGATATTTCCTTTTACTATTTTTCCTGTAAGCAGTTGCCACAAAGAGATTATGCAATTTTGAGTAGGCAGAGAGATGATCTACATGATTGTGAAAGAAGAGGGGAGGTTTTTGTGACAATATGAAGATGTAATCCACATGGTGGAAATGTTTGGCAACTACCAGCTTGAGCATAAAATGGACTGCAGCTTGTGGCCTGCTCTACCATAGTGTCTTTGCCAACTTTTATTGTTACGGAGCCAGCTCAGTTCATACTTGTTGCAGCTTTATCAGTAAATAGCATGCCTGTGCCCACAATCAGAAGATGAATAAAACTCCATTTTCCAGGGCTTTCTCTGTACATCCTGTTGATTCAGGTTGGTTTTCACTTGAATGCCTGCAGTGCATAGAGAGCTATACTCGCTACTTCCCTCCCCATTCGTACGCGTCAGCTGAAGAGATAAGCTCAAGCAGACAGATTTTCTGGATAGTTTCTGACAACAACAGCCTCTGGTTCAAGCAGTCCAGTTGACAGCCTGGCTTGTCTGAACTTCCAACATAAAGTTACCTGTGTTTACTAGAGACTACAAAGTAGTTAGTTGTTGGGTTGGGACCTAGCTTGTGGGCAAACTTAGCCCAGTCATAGGGTGGCAACATTGGACAAATGATTAGATCAGCCTTTGGAAAGGGTCCTTGGGAAGTAGACAAGCAGTTTAACTCCACTGCCCTCTAAATTATGGTTGTGGCCAGAGTTGTCCAAGGCTAGACTTGTTACTTGAAATGTGTTGTGGGCAAATGTGGAGACATGTGTGATAGGATGATGGACAGGAGCAGAGTAAATTGTACTAAGTAGATGTACTAAAGTTGTGTGCTGATGTCAGAAAGTGGCCTTCCTTACACAGTGAAAGAGATGAGCTCATCTATAAAGCATCCTCCAGAGAGTTTGATCCTGTGTGGATAGCTGAAGCAAGTGTCAACCTTTGGCAGTGCTGAAGCTAAGTCCAGCAGGTATCATGACTCAGAGCTCTCAGTCACCTGAAATGAGTCGTGGCTTATGTTAGTATATGGGAGAGAGAAGTACAGTGGGTTGAGGAGTGGGGTGAACATATTACAGCAAAATAAGATTTTTGGTCTTAAATCTGAGCGCTTAAGTGTTCTGAATCACCATCTGGTGTCTCCACTGATGGAGATTCCATGAAGGAATCTAGAAAGATTGTTCTTCAGCATTTAAATGGACAGCTGAGACAAGGTGGTGTGAATGCTCTCACCATGTAAGCCAGCCTAGTTCCCACAAACAGATCCATCGTCACGTTTTTTTTTTTCACAATTATATTTCACAGTACAATAAAAAGACCCCTAGTGCTTCACAATCAGAAATTAGCATGACAACATTCTGATGCAGTAAATAAAGTATACCCAAATCAAGAATGTATTCCCACAGAAAGATGGCAAAGAAGGGTGCTGGATGAAAATTTGCAGTACAAAAGCAAGTTTCTAATAGTAAATACATGATGGATAGCATGACACAGAAGCTCAAAAAAGCTGATTTGGAACAACTGTACTGGTTTTGGCACTGATTCTCTTGTTTTTTCAGAGTAGTACTGTAGGCTTTTGTTAGTTTTGCTAATTATGTTTAAGAATTTTTATTTTGATACTATCTAGTAAAGCTAGTCTAGCATTAAAACAGTATAGTAATTAAGTTTCATGTAACTATTTACTTTCAGCTACATTACATGGACATGAGAAAGTAAATCATCAATATAATTCCAGTAGGAATATTTTATTTAAAACATAGTGGGCTGAATTACCATTTGGTATAAATGAATACTGAAGACAATACAGCAATAGAAAATTATGTGAAATTGAAGCATGGCATGCCAGAATCCTCTGTGGGTGTAACACCTCATCCATCAGCAGTTTCCTGAAGGAAGCATTTGGCTTCCCATGTCCTTTGTTCAAGAACACAAGCTTCCTGGTCACGTATATATGGAATGGCAAACTGAAATTATGCTGAGCAGCCACTAGAGCTTTTAAAAATGATACAGTTTTCTTTTAGCCTGTGACTATTTTCATGCATGTGACTGTTTTGCAGATGTCAAAAAAACCACCAGTCATAACTTTGATGTATAGTAATGCCATGTGACAGCCTTGTTGAAGTAGTTGTGTACTCCATAAGTTTGTATAGGTGATGTGTCTTGTAAAGTCAAATGGCAGCAAATAGAACATTTAGGAAAGAAGCATAAGGCCAAATTCTGTTAGTTCAGTTAAACTGAGGGTAGAATTTGGTTCCACGCTTACTGGCTACCAGTTCTATGATTTGATCTCTTGAAGAAATTGATTTCATTATTTGCATGGACCAGGTAAGGAGAGGATGGGTATTGCTTCATACAGATACATTGTTGTATACTTGTGAGCACGTCATGTGTAACATGCGTGTATATAAACATGCATTAGCAGAGAGGTACCTTGCTGTCTAAAGGAGTATGATAAACCCGTATGTTATTGTCTTCCTTTTTTTTCCCTTCCAGATCAATGCAATTCGATCAATTGTTCCAAACAAAAGCAATAATGAGATAGTTCTGGTGTTGCAGCAGTTTGATAACAATGTAGACAAGGCTGTTCAAGCTTTCATGGATGGTGAGTACAGTGTACCTTTTTCACTAAGGCATGAGGGATTCAATTGCATGCTAAAGTGTTCATTGCCTCTGGTGGCTCGAAATATATTCTGTTCTGCTGATATTCAGATGATTGTGACACTTGGAAGGTTAATTTTTTTTTTAATAATTGATCCTCTTGTCTGCGTCTTTGCTTCTTCACAGTAGGAGTTTGACATGGCTGTTTATCTGTTCTACCTGACTTTGCCATTTTTGATGCCATTCTTGTTGCAGACCTCCTTTATTCTGCATGAAAGTTAATGCTCTTTAAAGTAAACATGTCAGAATATGATTCACTATTGAAGATACAGCAAATAATAAGAATTTGGGCTGGTTCTGAAGCAGATTACCAGGCCCCTAAATCCCTGAACTTGGTGCATACATTGACATTCAAACCTCAATCTGAATTTTGCAAATAGCCTTGACATTTATAATGGCTGAACCAAGACTCCATTGAAAGTTCGAGTCATTCTAAATCTGGATCTGAGTTTGTATTTTGCATCATGAGACCATCTCTAATGAAAGGTCACTTGTATTTAAATAACACTTTTTTGATAAATACATAATGGCAAGTATTTTGAACTTTCACCAACGTCTGTGAGAAACCCTTTGCAAGAATAATAGCATACCATGAACAAATCTCAAAATCTGTGTAGCTTGGGGCTGCTTAAAAGATACTAGAAGTTCACTAGTCTCAAAAGCCCTGTATATCTTCAAAAGCTTCATAGTGTTATTTGCCATTTCACCAAGTTGCTTATTTCATATCTATTTTACCTCAGAATAGTTTTGGGTTTGGTTTGGATTAATTTATTAAAATGTATCAGCCAAAAAGCATCATGATGTACTAGGAATTCCTTAGCAATATGCAAAAAGCATGTGCAAGCAAACTGGACTATTTAGAAATGCATCAAAATTCTTCCATCAGATCTATATGGTGCCTCTTGATTCAGGCATCTGCATAGACAGTCAGATTCTGATAGATGTATGGAAATCAGAGTTTGTTTGTGCACACACACAGAGAAAGGAAAATGCGATCCATCTAATTAACAAAAATCTAAATAACAAAAATTAAAAATACTGTAATACATGTAATGGGGAAAGTAGTGGAGGGTTGCTCCATGATTATTCAGTAAGTTCCTTTCATTCAATTTATTTTGTCTTGAGTTACCATTGCTCACTTGCGGTCTATGAGTTCTTTCCAATGGCTCCTCAGGAAGGGAAGTGCTTTCATAGCCATGTGTCGTCATCTGCTGTGAGGAAGAAAGAGGGCAAAAGCAAGCCTTGCAAGAGTGCAACAAAGTCTTGAAGAAAAGCAAGCTGTTGTAACCTGAATTCATATGATCTTTATTTGAACTTCACCAGTTTACAATCATTGTGCTGTGAGTTCAAAAGTCTTTGCAAGTGAGCATATGAAAACAGCCAATATTTGTTACTGTCTGGAAACAGCATGAGAAAAGACATCTGTCCATTCAGCTGCCCCTGTGGATAGAATGAATCTGGCACTTCCAGTATCTTTTGGTAAGATTGAAATTGCTAAGATTGAAATATCACAATCGCAGAGAACGCATTGCCGCGTGCAATGAAAAACATGGGGACAGCCATGCTGAGTGAAAAGGCTGAGCACCTCCATTCAATACTTCTCTCAGAGGTGCTGCATGCTGAATCAAGAAATGTTCAAATTTAGTTTCCTGAGATCAGCTCCTATCTTGCTTCATATCTGGAGTCGCATATAGATGATGCCTCTATTATGAATTTACTTCTATAAGTGAAATTTGAGTTAAATAGCAGTTCAGATGTTTTATTTGCTATGTTAGTGTTTACCTAATTAAGCATAATCAGAAGGTCTGTTCAGTTGCTTTGTAGATGTGTTCAAGGAAATATACTGGTGGGTTCAAATGAGGGCTTTGGGACTTGCACAATTAGTGCATTTCCAACAGGAAGAAACTGGGGTTAGTTGGGTGAATCCCTGAAATAACCCTCACTGTGCATAGTATTCACAGGGAAGCTGGGGGAAGGAAAGCTAAAGCAACACCAGCCAACACACAAGGAGTGTTGGACGATACTGTGAAAACAGTTAACAAAGCTGTCAAGCGAAATTGCATATTTTCAGCAACATGGAGTAAAACGTGCAGCAAATGTCTGGGTTTATTTCTTTGTACTGAAACATAGTGTCTGTCAACAGATAGCATACCTTTAGGAGAGGGGATTGTATTTATATGTACATAAGTATGTTTGTATATAATTAAATATAGATATATGTATAGTTACACATAATAGAAGTTTCCTTAGCCTCTGTCTGCTTTGTCATGTCATCTAGGAAATAAAATACGGCTTTGATGGATTCCATACACATTTTTTCACAATTTAAGAAATTAGACTTAGCACTGCTAGCAGGACATGTAATCTCTTCTAATGTGCGTGATCGACTCACCAGATGATCTGAATTATTGTGGCAGAAAAATAACTTTGGTATGTTTGAAAACCTCACATGTCTTGGCTGAATACAAGTTGACAACTCAGTGGTCTGAAAACAGCATTACTTCTTAATACTGATATTGTCAAGAGTTCACTGAAATGAGCGAGAAGAATGGCTGAGTATGAAACCCATTTGGAAAGGATAATAAATGAATATTTACTAGAATTATGCAGTGGTGGTAAAGTGATTCTTAAATTCAAGCAGAAGACCTTTAACCTGGTTGCGATTAAAAGGATTATTGTGGCAGATACTGTCATAGTAGTTTGGATGACAATTCAGACTTCATCCTTACCATGAGCATCTATTTTCAGCTCTAGGGTCCAGGAAAACAAAATAATGATGTTAACTAGATGCAGAAGAGTTTTCTTCTAATGTGACAGCTGGCACTGGTCTGACCAAGGCTCTGCTTGCTTTCTTCCATAAATTTATCTGACCAACTCGTTAGGGCTGGCAGACAGCATTTCAAGTATACAAAATTGTAATCATTTTTCAACATAAATGTTAACCTTTTTTTTTTTTTGCCAAGTCTAAGTTTACTGTGTTTGTCTGATGCAGAATTTCTGCAGGAGTCCACAAAATTATTCTTTTGGATGCTAATTAGGTCTTCATTTTTATGTTCTTCTGTCTTCTGAATATGACATATAACACATAGGAAGTATATGATAAAAATGCCAAAAGATTTTAAAACTTTTGGAAGCTGTAGAGTCAGGGTGGGCTAACTAGTTTACCCAGTGTTTATATTAGGGTGCTGAGATACTTCCCTTTTCAGGCAAGAGGTTTATTTGAGTGTTGATTTTTCTGGGGCTTATGCTAGTGCTTTAAGTTAGGCACCCACTTTGTGGAATGAAGGCCATAAAAAGCAGTAGTGCCAAGTAGGCCATTCACTGTACGTAGTGTAATCGAATAAAATGGGTAAGTAAAAAAAGAGCAAGATGGCAGTATCCATTTCGTTCTCCCCACATAAGAGAATTCACAACAACAAATGGAAATGCTGCCCAGCTAGGAGACTAGAAACTGTTCTTAAACACACTCGTTCTATTTCATAGCTGAACTTTTGTTGAAATGTTTTCTCTTTCCTTTCTTAGGCAGTGCAACTCAGGTTCTAAAGGAATGGAATATGACAGGGAAAAAGAAGGTAAGAACTTGCTCTTGAGAATGAAAGCATTCAGACCGTTTATCAGCTGTCTGTAGTTGAATGTACTAGTTTTATTTTGGCCAGTACTTTGTCTGCTTTTGCTGACATAGGGGACTTCATTCACACCTATAGTCAGAACACTTGAAAGCAAATGTGTGTATTATTTCTAATCCTGTTCATCTCTTCTTGTCTGTCTAGCCCAGTGTTCTGAGAGAATTTCTGGGACAGCAGGTGTGTGTACATGTGTGTGGGAGCCAGACCCTGGACAAGTATAGAACAAATCCCAAAACAGCCCTTATACAGAAAGACTTAATAAGCAATTGTATCCTGGATAGTCACAGCCACTTACAGTGCTAGAGTTTTTGCTGCCAGGTGAAAAATAACTTATGCATAGGAGTCATCCATTAGGAGTCATGCATTAGTGACACTATCAAGTAGATACTTGAAGTATATATGGGATATGATCTTCATGCTTATGTATCTCCAAGCCAGAAGGCTGCCCTGTGAGGCACTGCCGTGGAGGCTTCTCTTTATGGCTGGGAGAGCTACAGTAGCAGTGGCCAACCCATGTCCTCTGTGATCACTTTCTACCTGATGAGGGTGATGCCTTAAGGGTTTGTCTGTGTTACTGCGTGGATGTCCCCTGGATGGTTAGGAACTGCTTGTCCTAAGTGACTGCAAACATTTTGAGCAGCATCTTAGCAGAGGCTCTGTCACCAGTTTGCAATGCAAGTATTTTGTGTGGAAGGAAGGGGAAAACCAGTTCGGGGCTTCAGGTTTTATTTGAAATGATTTATATGTTCAGCTCAACAGATACAATGTGTTGTATAGCACAGCATGGCCTGTGAATTGCATTACACTGATGTCACTTGTATGGCATTTTAAGAGCACGGACAATCGGACAATTTACTGATTATATTTTGAGTTTATATGAGTTGCACTGAGTTATGTCTCTGTTCTTGCAATATTTCTCCATTTAGAACAATAGGAGAAAAAGAAGCAAATCTAAGCAGCACCAAGGCAATAAAGATCCTAAAACCAAGAACGGTGGACCTGAGAAGGCATCTCAAGAGCCCCAGGGAATATATGACTGCCATCTGAATGGATGCTCTAAGGACAACTCTTGCAGTGGTTCTGCCAATCGGAAACTGGAAGCTGCTTCTCTTGAGAACAAATGCACAGGATTTGTACACTCAGCGCTGGTCCATCCAGAAATCACAGGTCAGTCGGTTCATTTGGCACAAGACACCTTTTTAACTGGCAGTAGCCAAGCCCCCATTTACATAAAGATTATAGTATTTTTATTGCCTTGAAGTAGAATGTAATAAAAAGAAGTTGGAGAGAGGTATTTGTGCAAAATAATGCACATAGCTATTAAAGTCATGCAAGTAGATCTATATCAGAGCACAATTTGCCTTGCAATATGTTTCCTTGCAAAATCTCTTTTTTTCATGGAGACAAAAGGATCAAACTATAATTAGAGGCCCAGCTGATACAGAATGTTACAGATATAAATACAGAAGGATGCAGGGTTAGAAAATGGCTGGACTGTGAAATAGGGACAGAAGCGATAAAGTCCCTCATCTGGAGCAAAGTCATCTAAGCAGTAGGACCTTGTGGCATATTACAGGATTTCTTTATTGCCTAGTCCAAACTAGTTCACTTTTTCTCATCTTCCTTGAATAGGCTAGTTGCAGTAGATCTCCACTGGTTTTCCCTAATGGGAAAAGGAGGGCCTTTCTGTTGAGGGAAGGCAGTCTGATAGCCTCTTAGTACACACACGTTTCTGCTAGGGTCCAGATACTGCTTCTGAAACTCTGGAGGACAGTAACACAGAAAGCTATTCCCCACTGGGTTGTAGTAGATCCAGAGTTACGATTATAGCAACCTCAATGAAAAAAAACCTTCTCCTCTTGGGGAGAAGCTCTGTGAAAGCTTTTGCCTTCAAGTATCCTTTCCTAAAGCTCATATTTAATTGCTGTCAGTACTGGTAATGTTTTTTCAGCTCTTTACATTTCAAACTTCTGACAGCCCTAAATTATTGCTGCTGTTGGTATTTTCTTCCTGTGTAGTATGTAACACTGCATTAAAAGAACTTTCCTTGAAATCTCCTTTTCTGTGGTTACAAATACAGCTCTCAAACGGCATTTTAAAGGAATGTGCCAAATGGATAATTATCGTGAAATGAGTTCTCTGGTGCTTCCAGATGACTTTGGTGGTGCCAACCTCTGGTCGATTACATGAAAACTCTGCTACATATAGCAGGCAGAAAGACAAACTACTTACCAAGAAATTTTGTCCTAAGAATTTGGTGCTTCACAAAGGATCAGAGATACTCTTCCTGCCTTTGCTAAAGACCCCATTTACTTTGGATAGAATATGCCATAAGCCAGAAAATTCTGCATTTCCATAATACTAAAAGCTTTCTTGCCACTTATTCTGCAGGATGTAAACATCTGTGGTATAAACATGTGTCAGGCTCCCATGTCAAAACTTCTTAGAGTTGCTTTTTTTGAAATGATACATGCATGAATAAAGATACATAGACTGAATTGTCCATGCATGGGGAGTGTTTTCTAGCAGCTAGCAGACGTGAATCCAAAAAGAGTACCTTTGGGTTTAGTGATCTTTTTTGTGGCATTGGGATTGAGTCCTTTCTTTTCTCTTTGACATAATACAGTGTAGAGTTGTACATACCAAGGGCAAAAGGTATCTCAGATTTTTTCTTTGCTTTTACAAGTGACAAATGAGATATTACCATAGCCATACAATTTTTATAAACTTTTACACATATCCCCTGTTTCAAAAACGGGGAGAGAGGGATAAAATAAAAGAAAAAGGCAGAAGAGAAAGGAAAGGAAGTGGAGAGAAAGGAAAACCTGAAACTTTAATATTCAAGTTTCCCTTGCATAGTAAAACAAGTTCCTGGCAATTTGTTTAATGCAGAGGAGGAGAGAGTTTCTTCTTCACTTTCAGTTGCTCTAGAATCCTTGTTTTTGCAGCCAGTATAATAGCTACTTTCTTAAGGTCAAAAGCCACTTATGTACATGTTGTTAAACTTGTGCTGAAGTGCATGGTACTAAACAGAAGAGAAGGGTGATCAGGATCCCTCCGGGGTCAGCAGCTGTGCCCTTGTGGTTTCTGATTAGGTCACACCAACTGCTCTAAAGCAGTTTGAAATGCTGAAGTGAGTCCAAAGTGCATCCATTTCATACTGCTCCCTCTTGTGTTGTAATCTTCTTTCTTTTGTCTTTGTCTGGCTTGTTTCTTTTGATTCCTTCCCTGTCAAGGTAATGGTACTGTAGTCATTTCACCATCGCCTTCAGACAACTCACAGCTTAGAAGGGTCATATTCAGGTGTCTGCTGACCATCCTTTATGCTTTCCTCCCCATGAAGAACACGAGGTTGAAGCTTTGCTTATACCAACCCACAGTCTGTGAGATTAGATTTTTCAGAGCCATAAAATCCTGCTGCCTGGAATGGACTTCAGGGATCAGAAGGGAGGATGCGGCATAGCTGGTGTTTCTCCATGTGTCCTATGCTACAAAACAATAGGGGAGAACATGTGGCTATTACCTTTAGTTCAGGTCTGCTTATTTCTTGCCATTATTCCATCTTCCTTTTTCTCAGAAAAATTTAGCTGTTGCTTTTTTGTGTGATGGTTTCCTACAGGGAATCAAGACCTACTAGAGAAAATGAAGCACAGAATTCAAGGCCCTGGAAAGGCAAACTGCCTCATCATGGAGGGCCTCAGGGAGCGTTTCACTTAATTATGAATTGGTTCAGGGGCTCTCCTTCTCAATATCTTGAAGGAGAAAAGGCCCCCAATAAAACAGATTACTTCAAAATGATGACCAGAACAGACCCTCCAACTCTCCTTCTTAGAGTCCTTGGCAACACAGGATCTGAAGGACTTCCAGCTACCCTTTCTATGCATGCCCTTGTAAAGAAGGGGCATGAATGCACTGAAGGGATATTTAATGCTGCCTTGCTGTGCTGTTGCTTTTGCAGGGACTTGGATAAAATGAGATGCAAATCAGATACCGATCTCTTTCCTACTGTTTAAAATTGTTTCTCATGTAGGATGATTTTTAGTGAATCCTTCAAACTTCCTGTTTATATTTCAAGGGAGTTTTTTTTCTTCTTCTGGCCAAAGAATCCATGAGGTTCACTTTATTTAAAAGGTTTTGAATGGCAAGCTGTTATAAAAAGATAAACCACTCATTTCAAAGATAGCAGCTCAGCAGATTTCAAAGCAAGTTTATTTGGGCTGCTGCCATTACCGGCAGGACTGGTAATACTTGACAGTTAATGCGGTGGAGGTCACACATTAGACTAGTGCTGACATTCTAAGCCACCACATAGTGAACCCTGCAACAGTTTCCTTGTAGCTACTATTAACCAAACCTTTGACTTTTTCAAGCATTTGAGAGAAACTTTATTCCTAGATTTTGTTATACATGTTTCTTAGCGGGACCACGTCTTCAGAGATTTGATGCAGAATTTCTCAATCTATTTTTAATTGTGTTGATTGTCCTCAACCAAATTTGAAAGTTCAGTTGTAGCATACTAAGGTATTGTTTGCTAGGCCATGTTGGTCATCTTGCTGCTGGGTTTCAGAGTAGCTCATATCATTTTGGAAGAAACAGTGTCAAAGTATATTGCAGACAAAAGATGATTAAAAAGGTTTTAAAGTATAACCATTGTTCTAGATGGCTTTCTTTAGGCAAAAAGCTGTGAGTTTGTCATTTGTCTTGACAAGTGTACCAAAGCTGCTAATTAAATGCAGTAAATAACAATTTTGCACTTTAACAACAAATTTCAAAAGATCTAATCTTGGGGACAGAACCCAATAGCCCAAGCCTTTCTGTATAGCTTAGCTGATAGACTGGTTGTTTCTAACTATCTGTTGGAGTTATGTAGCAAGGTTAGCCTCAACTGACAGTAGAAAGAACATTCTTTATAAATCAAAGCTATCTGCATCAGTGTGAGATGCAGCCAGAGTTGCATGGTGTTAATGGCAGTTATCTCAGAACAGAGTCCCTGGCTATGTGTGAGACTGGTGTCTGCATTGAACCTTTGATATGTCCAGAGTGCTGCATACCTAGTGTTTCTTGCTTTCACAGATACACAAGTTTCTTTAACTTCTTTAGCTATTTTCTTACATGCTGTTTTGTGTAAGATACTTTTTCTGTTTACAGACTTGCCTTTTAAAGCTTGTAAACAAAAGCTGTTTTAGAAATGTGGGCACTAATGTTCCTCCCTGTTCCTCTGGTGTTATGTAATTGCCATGGAAACATACCAAGATGTTCTTTACCCCCATCCTAGTGCCCAGCTAGGGCACAAAGAAGTCACTAGCTGATATCCTGGAGCTGTCCAGGTAGTATCCCTCAGTCCCAGCAGTGTTAATCCTATTCCGTGGGCTATAATCAATCTGTTAATCTGACAAGCCCCTTTCCTCCAGACACTAAACAACATCAGCTGAATAAAGTGATGCATAAAGAGCATCTTCAGAACAAACTATCATTCATTCATCAAAGTGAGTGCAAAGATTAGAAAAATGAGTTAACACAGCAAATCATTTTCTATGCATGTTTCCTTAACTAAAATTCAGAGTGGCAGTAATAGCTGGCCTTACCTGTCAGTTTTCATAGCCATTCTTTGGCTGCTTGTCCCTCTGTCATGATGCTGCTATCTTGAATCCCTCTGAAGTCTTGGAAAGAGTAAACCAGGTTGTCTTGTGGCAGCCAAACAGGCTCAGGCATTGTAATCTTACCCGTCTTGAAGGTGTTGAACCCAAGAGCCTAATCTTCGACATTGTTTCATTTCCTGCTTGGTCCCTCTTAGCAGCTGCTTTTGATAGAAATCTGTAGTCAGGCAAGGTAAGTATTTCAGGTAGGAATGTTTAATCAGTACCTTTTGAATGCCGGTTAAATGATGAACATTTTTTGTGTGTGAGATAGATCAGTGCTAAAGTCTCATGTTTTCCACAGCAGACTTCCTCTCTAGTTCTGTTGCCTAGTATTTGGGCAAAGATTACAATTGGTAGTACGCTTTCTATGATATGAGGTATTTTTTCATATCAGCATGGAAGAGTGGTTTTTTTAATGGGTTTTTCTTGTTAAACTGTTGAAACATAGATGTGTTCAGATTGGTGTTTAATAACCAAAAACATTTTGTTTCTGTTCTGTCATTGTTTTCTGAGGTCCTGTAGAATGCAGGCCAGTGAAAAAATAACTTGATTTTTCTAGTTTATAAACATAAAGTCATTCAAAGTTAACAATAAGGCTTCATATCTTTCTTCATCTTGTAACTCCCTGTTTTCTACCTTAATGTTTTCTTGCAGACAAAGAACGAGAACACCAGAGAGCATCTGTGGAATTAAACCCAAAGACTATGAATGGAGTAGAACAGCATGAGTCTCTTCAGTCATCAGTTCAACTCCAGTGTAACCTAGGCAGGCCAAAGTCAAAATCTTCCTCAGTTAAATCATCCAATGCTACAACCCAACTTGAAACAAAGACAGATGAATCAGTCAAAAAAAGAGGTAAATTGGATCCCTGCTTGCTGTGTGCTGAGGTGATCAGACAGCTAAGGCCTGTAGGAAAAAAAAAAGCACATACGCGAAGAAGAGATGTGTTGGGAAGTGAGAGCAGAACCATGCTCAGCGTAACAAAAATGACTAGAAAAATTTGTGGTCTATTTAACATTATATTAAATGAAATTTAAAATAAATAATTTTAATTAATAGTGATGTTTTAAGATTTATTTAATTTAGGGAATGAATTTGAGCAAACATGTTTAGAAACTGAAGAGCACAACGGAAGGTCTATGGAAAAGTTGGATTTACGGACTTCAGTAGGATAACAACTCCATCCTAATCTGGGCAAATAACGTTGAACTATTCCTGCTCCCTCATTCAGAAAAGCCAAAACCAGCTTTCTGACTTTTGTGCAATTTTTGTTTTCTATTTTAGGGCCAAACATTGAAAAATCAGTAAAAGACTTGCAGCGTTGCACTGTTTCTCTAACCAGATATCGCATAATGATCAAAGAAGAAGTGGATAATTCAGTGAAGAAGATCAAAGCTGCTTTTGCAGAATTACACAGCTGGTAGGTAAATCAGCTTGAGAGATCTATCAGCACCACCTGAGAAAAGAGGGGCTAATTAGGCCACAGGCATTGGTGGGGAGGGGTCACTTATACCCTGCTTGTTTGCAGCATTTGGTTTCATCAAAAAAATACATGATGCCATTAAGTAATTCCTCACCAACCAGGAAGTAATATATGTGTAAGTGTCTGTTTACATACATACATAAAGGGGGACAAAACTACAGTTCTTTGAAAAACAAAATCTCACTGTGGTTTTTGTTTTCCCTAAGTGATCCATCTGGACCTCATTCCTTTGTATCAAGTTCAGTGGCAGCATATCTGAGCAAATGAAAGCTTTTCTAAAAATCCTGTCTATGGGGTTTTCTGAAGTCTCTTTTACCTTCTTTGAATCTCTTCTTTCTAGACTTCTTCTTTGATCTTATCTTCTTTGGCAGCCAGTCCTTTACTATCTCTTCATTTCCCATCATCTTTGCTTCTTGTACCACCATTCTTTTTTTTATTTTTTCTTTCCCTCATAGTTTCTTCTAAGTTGCCCATCTATCACTTTATTTCTAGTTCATTTTTTTTCCTCATTCTTTTATCTCTTCCTTTTTTCTAAATTTTTTGGATTGTAATTTTGGTTGTTCCTGATCTTCAGCATATATGTCTACACCCTTTGAAAATTTGTAGCAGAAATAATTGCTGTAGTAGCAAGTTGCGTATTTTGTATATACTTGTCATAGAAAAATATTTTCTGGTTTGAGTTTTACTCCACCTTTTGTTTAACCATAGATGCCATATAAAACCTGTGTAGTATACAGTGTTGCAGTAAACAGAAAAAATACTATTAAAATGTACAAGATTCAGTTACAAATCACAGAAGTGTACAAAAACCTTTCACCCTCAATTCTCTACAATATTTGCTCATATTTTTATGAGCGTATCTTAGGAAAGTGCTGTAGTATTGGCAGAAGTTTGTTAACTCTGGATTTCAGTAGTGCATTCATTGTCTTTGATGATGCGTCTAAAGTGACTTCAGTGCCACTGAGGCTCCGCTTCCGTATGGGCAGAAAGTCCAAGCGCTACTGAGCTGATTTTGTGGAATATTCTGTTGCACTGAGCCACTGGTGTACCTTACTGTCTAGCAGGGAGAACTTTCTTTCTGTCTCTGTACTCCAGTGAACATGGGCTGTGATCACCCGTTGTACTAAACTGTGTATTGTTGTCAGGAGGGCCCTGGAGCCAGTATAGTGTTGGTTGCTTATGAACTAAAATGCAGTAATTATGTTGTTGGTATAGAAAAATTAAGTAAAGTTCATCAACCCCTTGCACCCTTTTTTGGTACTTCTCAGAGGTGGTTTTGTATGGTTTTAGAAAACTTATAAGATGTTTATGGTTTCTGCTAAGAAGGCTTTGACCTTTTCTCTGAGTAAACTCATAGTTGAGTCTCATTTGTCTGTCGTTCTCACTCAAATTTTTTTGTAAGTGTTAAAAATATATATAATGTTACTTCGATGTCTAATCTTGTTTGCAGGCAGTCACAGTCAATTCAGTCTAAATGACAGTTGCTCTGGTCATGGAACAGGCTTAGAACTCTATCATGATCTAAGAATGTGGGGGGAGGTGCTATATTAGTAAATTCAGAACTGAAAGTCTTCATTTTTCATGTATTCATGTTTTAGCTTGAAAAACACTAAAGTGTATTGACTAATGCTAAAATGTGTTACTTAATAGTTGAGCTTAATAGGACAAAAGACAAAATGACCCCAAAAGAGTATGTAAATCCAAGTAGACTTAAAATGATGAAAAATAGCCTGGAAAACTTTTGAATAGACTTCATTTAATTTTATGTCCTATGAGCTTCAGTGCCTAAATTACTAGAGTGGAGTCTGACAGAAGCTCCAGAATGTAACAGATCTGTGCTCTGAATATTCAGGCCTCACAAAGCAGTTTCATGCATGTAGCATAACGTTGCAACAGGGACAGTATAATGTCAGGACATGTTTATGGAAATCTCAATGTGGGCTATATGGCTTTTGGCAGCTCATAAGCCTAATATTTAGGTTTTTCTTTGAACGAATGAAGGGGAAAATTTGGCTTAAACAGTAAAATGCATGACTTGACACCTTCTTGGCTAAAATTAAAAACAATTTTGGGATATTTCATATGGTCTTGTGGCTTAAACTCTGAAAAAGATGGGAAAAGCTGTCTTTAGTCCCTCATTTACAAAAACTTACTGCCAATTGCTGTAGATTCACTGAATTTGAGTAGAAATCACCAGAACCAGTGATAAATACAGCTTTAAACCTCATACGGTCAACATGTCGTATTCCTGGGATGAACAGTTTAGTTTGCGTTATTTACATGGCAGATTCCGTGCTTCAAAGTTGAAAAAAGCATCACTAGTGGTAGCGGGAGGATAAGGTAATTAAGTGAGCACGCAGCCTCTTGCATATTTATCACCCTCCTTGGGCATGGGAATTTCACTGTGGCACTGTCAACTTGTCTTTCAAGGGAAAATGAAGCAATTCAGCTAAACTGCTGCTCCCAGAATGCTATGGAGTAATCAAAAGCAAGAGCATGACAATGATATCTGGTCTCTGTGATAGTGATTCCAAAGCTTTTTGCAAGTTCTTCTCCCAGTGGCTGCTGGAGTGTGGACTGGTTGAGATGTTCAACAGATAAACATACAACAGCAACTAAGTGCTGTCTTTGGTCAGAACTGCAAGGAATACTTGAATGGGCTCAATACCATAACCTAGATGGGAGTTTAACTGGTTCCTGTTACACACCTAAGGGGTTTTAGTGAAGCTAAATGAAGTCAGAAGCTTTAGTCTTGCATTGCGGCTGAATGCTACAACACATACTGCTTTCTGTTGTCTCTCTTGGGTTTGTTTTTCTTTTCCCTCCTTTGGCAATACGATAAAAGACCCTTTTTGTGTCCTTCTTTTTGTGTTTACTAGGAAGGTCAGAATCAAAACTCCCATTTCAAGAGTCAGTAATCTTTTGGACTCTCTAATAATCTTCTTTTTTTTAAATCTTTTCACTATTTTACCAATCACAGAAAGGATCAAGAAGTGCAAAGATAACATCATATATCTTCCTTCTACTTCCAGATAGCATATGAAACCATTATTATGGAGATAAATGAATAGCACATGTGGCCTAAGATGTCCTAGAAAGCTTCAGCAGAAAGATTCACAAGAACTTTTGCTTTTAGCAGCAGGAACTGTTGAGTGATAGTTGCTAGTGGAAGTCCATGTCTCTATCTGGCTCAGTATTTCACAGCTTGACCTAACCAATGAAGGGAAATTACTCCTGAACATGCTCAGTCAGTACTATGCTGCTATTTAAAAAGTCACCTATCTGGCAAAACAGTGCATACCACCCTCCCACAATCTAAAAAAGGAGTGGTATGGAGCAGGTGTGCTGTGAACACCTGTAAGTGCTTGGAAAAGAAAATGCAATGCTTGCTTCTGGTTTTAACTTTTTAATGAAGTGAGACAAAAAAACAATCCCAGAAATGTGTTTATTTAAAAACACTGCAGTGGGCTCACTTTCTCTTTCTTTAAGAGCCTCCCAGGAGTTCCTGCCAACTGGAGTAATTCTCTGTGTGCTCGGAGCAGGCGATAACTACTTGCTTTTATGCAGTGCTTTTCATGCCAGAAGATACCAGAGCATTTTACAGGCTATGGACTGGACCAGGCAGGGCATTTTGCCCCACTTTGTGAGAAGTCTTTTGCAGTTTTATGTGGATTGTGCTTCTGCTATGATCTAGCACTCTCGTCACCCCTGCTCTTGCAGGACTTTGTATAACATTGCTTTCTCCAAGGCCGTGAGAGCGCTGGGCAGAGCAAGCTAAAGGGCACTGTTTTTCACTCACATGTGCACCTGAAAGTACTGAGGAAGGTCCTTCTAACAGTACTCCTTGAGTCAGTATTTCTCCTCATTGTATCCAGCTTTGATGTATGGTTTTCAGGAGTACCTTTGTGTGAGTGAGAACGTAAGCTGCTCCACTTATTCTTGGATGTAAAACATGTCAGAGCATAGCCATGTCTCACAGTAGTGTAGGGCAAGGAAAAGAAGACTACCAAATAGTGCTAAAGTTGCAGGGGCGGGTCAGAAAAGCTAGATGGACTCCCCTCTCACTAGAGTGCGCTTGAGACATTTGTTGCCAAGGTTAAAGCCCATATGTTATAATTGTGTTCTCACTTTTCCACTAAGAGACTGAATAATGATCTTGGGGATAAAAAGAGAGCCCCAGGAAATAAGAGTGAAATGTGTAGAGCACAAAAGGAGCCACAGTTCCCCGTAACACCTCCTGCCAGAAAATCATTTTCACATATTGGGCATGCACACAGTCATATGGAGAACTAAAAGGAAACAGCTGCTACTTGCCCATACAGTCTGCTTCCAACCACAAATGGAAAATACTCTGTAGAAAATAGTAAGGGCCAGGTTTAATTACACTGCATGCAGAACTTGACCAAAGACAGACAAGCTTCCTCTACTCTTTGCATGTCAAACACATTGGTATGTCCAATGCTTTATAAAGATCATGAAAACAAACACAGTTGATGATTTTTTTTTTTTGAGTGAACAAAGAGCAATTGAAAGCTCCACCATAGGCTGGATTAGAAAATTGACTCTGACATAATGCTGGAAAAATGGAATTTGGCAATACTAACAATTTAAAAATATATTAAAATACATTCAGGGAACAATGAGAAAGCATGTACTGTGTGTTTGGGGAAGATAAAGCAGTTTTTCTATTGTTCTCTAAGTTAAAATCAAAGCAGAGGAGTGGTTGAATGGGGGAAGAAGTCATTTAAAAGAACATAGTTGAGTCTCTGCTTAACTCGATGCTGGGTGATGAGCAGTGCTACCAGTGCTCAGTTGCAGAGCAGTGAGTGAACACAGTCATCCCCTTTCTGGGACCCCTACTTGGCAAACTGTAAAGATGAAGGTTTTCTGTTGCCCATAGCCCAGAACCAGTGGCACTAGATGAAGAGCTGATTGTT